CTAAAACTTTTGACTAATGGAAACTTCTAAATATCAAATAGGAAAAGTTAAATCCAACAATAATGATTAAATTCAAAAAATTATTAAATTTAAGAGAAACGTTTGTTTGCTTGCAGATTGAATTCAAGCTAATCTATAGCAGAGAAATAAAATAATAGCTATAGAACTTTAAACATTCATGTACGGTATTTTTAATGAGCTGATTTCTTTTGCCTCTTTTTAGGAAGTCTTAAAATTCTTTGAGCTCTATAAAGATAATTAAAATTCCAATTAGCAAAACGATAAAATAGGGAATACAAACAATCTCTAAAAATAAAGAGTTGTTGTGAAATCTCAAGTAAATTGGAATTGGCAGATAGAATAAATGAGATCTGAATTGTTAAATAGTTTTAGGAGCTTAAAACTGAAATATAAAATCAGAGTAAAATGCCATCTTATCAAGAATAGAGTTTATAATAGAGTAAAAAAATAAGGAAAGATGATTTTATGAAAAGATAAAGTAAGACTAGTCAATATAAAGTTAAGAATGATCTTTAGTTTGGTGTAAAGTTAGAATAATCCCTATATCCCTTTATATCAAGTTTTGAATCCAAAAGTGATTATTAGTAAAGAAATCTTAAATATTAAATGGAAAATTCGAGATTTTTCAATAGGGATTTTTACGACAATTTGGATGAAAGAGATTAAAGTTTTGTTAATGATAATTCTGATTTAGAGGAGGATGTTAAAAGTTAAGAAGCATTTTTCACAAGAGAAGATGAAATTTCAGAAATTAATGAATAAGGAGAAAATGAGAAAAATGGTCTAAATTCTAGCGTTAAGAAAAATTTTATAGAAGAATATGGATTTGAAATAGATAACTAATTTGATTTCAAGAAAGATAAAATAAAGCCTAATGATGGCTATGTTTAGATGATACCTAATGAACAAAATGGCAGGTATGATAATTTACGAGAGTCCATTATGACTAGCATATAGATTTAGATGGCCGAGCAAAATGCTTAATAAACTCTTATCTTTAAAAATTAAGACGGAAATCTCATAATTGGTTAGAGGAAGGAATATTCTATATTAAAAAACCCAGTTACTAATAAATACTATGCTTTGGAACTCTAAGAATTATCCACTATTTTCAAGGTTGATGAATTGCTGGTTTGTGGAATGGCATCATCAAAAGAGATAAATTTGAAGATCATTAGCTCAATAGATTACACTATTAAAGCTAATATTAGCTTAATTAGCTAAGCTATAAAATATTAGTTAATCACTGGCTAATACTCTTCCTATCTTATAGTATTCTGCTTGTAAGGCTACATCGAGATAATCTAAATGAAAGATTTTATAAAGGCAGGAACCTTTAGACACTCCTCTGAAATGAATTTTTCTGATGCCATTGAAAGTGGT